AAATTACCAAAACCATATTGTAAGTATTTAAATATGGTAAGCAGAGCTGCTCAGGTGAATCAGTTTCATTCAATAGAATATAAAGAATTCATTCTTCCAGTAGTTAATTTGATGAGGAACAAGTATGGGAGAAGCCAGTTATTATTGTGACTCATATCTATATATATTTCATAAAATTAGCAGTGGTTCTTGTATATTGATTTGCTTGTACACTGTGATAGCTAGTTGAAGTTTACAAATCTTCATTATCTTACTATAATGGAAGTAGCGTGTATGTCAGTATCTATGTATGTAACCAAAACTCCTGTACCATCTGTTGAATGGCACTGCAAACAAAAATCCATAAACAATCACTTTCAGTATTCAAGATTGAGAAATTTTGAAAAAAAAAATTTCAATAAATACCACTTTCAATATATTACAATTTATTACAGGAAGATTTATGAAAATTTTGAGCATTTGTACATTGAATCATTTTGATGCAATGAGTTGCGTATGACTAAAGAGAACAATCCAAACACTTTTCCCATGCAGTACTTCCCAAACAAAAATTCTTTTTTATAAAATGTTAAGTTTTTCTAAACTTTTTTTTTTTCAATGAGGTATGAATGCCGTGATTAGTAATTACTAAGCACAAACAGCTGCCTGTAGGGTGGTGTTTTTTGCTGCTTTTTGTAACTGTTACTTAAGGGTTCGTAAATAACATTATTAAACCAACAAAATGCTATTCAGTGTTGCAGTTTTGTTAGTAAAACTTGTATAGACTAGAAAGAAATTGTTAATATGCCTTTCAGAAAGGTTTTGAGCACAGAATGCTAACTCTTTCTGTACATATTAGGTGCAATGTAACCACCAAAGTAACTAGAGATTAGTCATACAAGGTGTCAATAAATTAGCTGACCCATTTTAAAAATTAATAACTCAAAAAACCCTGGCTTTATTTAACTTGATGAACTATTCATAGTTTTTTTTCTTGTGTTAGTCTAATTCCACATGTGCACTGTTTGTTGATCAAATAATGTCTAAGCAAAAATTCTACCTCCCTCCAGGTGTTGTTCAGCATCTCGGGAGTTACATTCCTTATTGCATCAATTATTCTTTGGCAGAGATCCATGATATGCGCAGCTGTCAAATATACCTGATCTTTCACACACACAAGAAAAAATTTGAATGGGAGTGTGTTATGTTTTTTATTATTATTATTTTTAATCAAAAATTTTTCTATGAATATATGGAGTCAAACTCACTCAAAGTGTTGACTTGCCTGAGTGCAAGTTTTGTGTAGGGTTTTTCCAGTTTCTCCAATGTAATTATGATTGCAGATGTTACATGTAAGCTAGCAAACAACATTGGAGTTAAGTTTTAAGTTCTTAAATTTTGTAAGGAAATGTTTAAAAAAACTTCCTCAGTCTCCCCTAGTATGAGAACTGTAACATTTGCTCTCTTCTCTCACCTCTGAGAAGTAAGGAATTTAACTTAAATTACTCAATATAGTTATTACTCAGGCAAAGCATGGTTTTAATAGCATTCAATCTTATTTAGTTTCAGAGCCATAAACTAGAAAATCCGACTCCTCCTGCCACACCCACCTGCTGCATCCACTTTTTCAGAAAAGGCTAATAGTTATCTGCATCATTTAATAATATATTAGTTATAACCATTAGGAAGCTAAAGCTTTAATCTATCAAATGACGTATTATATTATGGTGTTTTCTCTACAGAGAATTGTCTATTTCGCTTACAGTTCAAACTTTATTGACATGGGAAACACATTAATGAACTCAGTTGAATTTTTAATGACTCATTGCTTAGCTACAAAGCCAGAAGTATTATGATACTTATAGGACATTGTCTGCTTTTTATGTGTTATTGTTCTGTGTTTGGTGCAGTATTTTATAAAATAAAAAATTTATGTGATAGTACCACTTGTATAATAAAGGGAAAAAAAGTATGGTTAAGTATCATTGACAGTTGACAGCAAAAAAAAAAAGCCCAGGTGAGTTGTATATTTCTTGTTTTTCATGTATTCTCTATTTATTATTACAAGACTCACTAAAATGTAAAGATTTGGAAATTATTAGGTTATATTACATAATAATAATAATTCTTCATGGGATATGCTAGCAAGTAGCTCATATGTTAGGTAATTCAATAGAGTAATGTGAGGTACATGTTCACAGAGTTATTAACAACTTGAGTGGCAGGATTATTACACACAGTTGAAAAGTGAATAAAACAAAAAAATTCATTATAAATAGATGTATACTGTTACAAGCTTTAAGCTACTTAGGATAAACATTCTTGGTTTCCTGTTACAGTTTGTAGTCATTCCAGAAACACAAAAAATGGAAATTTAGAATTATTTCTAGATTTTTTTTTATGATGGTAAGGAGCTTATTCAAATTGACCATCCCTATATAGAATTATAGTATAGTAAATAACAGATACAATATAAAAGTTTTTCTAGAAAAAAAAATTAAAAAATTATTTATTCATTTAGGAGGTTTTAGGGATAATGCAAATGAAATTTGAAAATTCTCAGATGAAAAGTATTTTTAATCTTAATATGAAATTCACTTTGATACAATATATTTACAGACAAAATTATAGTAAAAATACTTAATTAAAAATCCAGATTTTATTGTCTACAAAAGACTTTGATCTTTACTGAAAGATTGCCATATTTTATGAAGCTTCATTAAGTACTTTCAGAGCCATAGAATGTATACCACAATGGTTACACGGTGGTTACAAGGTAGTGTAAAATACACTAGCCCATTGTGATAGGGCCCCCCCAGTGGCACAGCGGTATGTCTGCGGACTTAAAATGCTAGAAACCGGGTTTTGATACCCGTGGTGGGCAGAGCACAGATAGCCCTTTGTGTAGCTTTGTGCATAAATTCAAAAACAAACAAACCATTGTGATAGGATTAATTGGCTGTTCAGATTTCGTAATTGTAGTATTTATTTCCTTGGAGATAGTTTTGCCAGTTAGATGTACTGCAAAAGTAATCTTTTTTATATTATCTTTTCTACTCTTGGTTTATCTGTGTTTTATTGTGTTGGAGGTGTGATGCTCATTTTTGGACATCATAGTTCTTGAAAATTTGTTTGATGTAGAAAGACTAGAACATTTGGTTGATGTAACAAGTATAAGAGAACATGTTGACTCTCTTTATAAACAGCAAAAAACATGAAAGAATTACAGTTGCATGTCATTTCTTAACTAATCTTGGACAAATAACACCTGACATGAAACCACCAGTCTCTGTACAAATCCTTACCAAAGTCACAAAGTATACTGATAGAAAATTTAAAGCTCTTCTCATCGAACATCTATGACCACAAATAAATAGGGACAAAGAAAGGTGCCCATGATAATAATTATTTTATTTTTTCATCTTAACTTTTGTTATTTCAATCTGTAATGTGGATAAACTTTTTTTAATTACAGGTAGCAGTTAATTATTTCAACAATACAATTTTTAAACAATAGGCATTACTAAGTATGTAAAGCACATTCTGTAGAAATGCATGCTGTAGATTAAATTAGAAATTATTATGTAAACTGTTTGAAGCTTTATACTGTCAGTTCTGGTTTGTGTTTGGAATGCTCCTGAAGAAGGTGTAATGTGAAACATTGAATGGCCAGTTAAAGAAAAATAACAAATTTGATGTTATAAGGTTGTTTATTTCCAGTATTAGAATGTAGCATTATACATTATTCTGTAAATTAAAACTTTCTATTGATTATAAATGATGTAATAGAAAACATCAGAAAGGATTATTGGCAAATTGAGATGGGGGGGGTGATAAGGGGGTTTAAAATTCTAGTTTATATATCTGTAAACAAAGAAGATTGAAGGCTATAAAAATTAGACTACCTTAGTAAAATCTATACTATAATTAGTAATTTATGGTTAACTTGATTTTTTGGAGAGCATAGTCTATTTTGCTTCAAGTTCGAAACTTTATTCCCAAGGAAAACATATTGACGAGCTTAGTGGCTCTTATCGCATAGTTAGAATGCTAGAAAAATTATGATAGTAATAGGACATTGTTTGCGTTTTAGGTGTTGTTATTTTGTGTTCTGAGATGCATTATTTAATTAAATAAAAAAATATTTAATGTATTACCATTAGTATAACAAAGTAGACTTAAATTTCATCAACAGTCAACAGCAAAAAACATGATGATTCAGGTAATTACTGTATTTCTTGTTTATTGTGTACTTTTTACTTATTATTATAAAAGGAACTAAAATGTAAAAACTTGGAAACTTATTTGGTTAAGTAACATAATGAAAAACAATAGTAATAGAAAAATCTTAAGATAAATTTTGCAAGCACTTCATGCATTACATAATTTGATACGATAACGTGAGCTGCATATTTGTCGAGTGATTTGTAACTCGTGTGGCAGGATTATTAGTTACATGGTTCAGAGGTCAATGAAATTAACTATAAATTGATGTATGCTGTTAGGAACTTTAAGCTTTTAATATAAGCAATTGTAGTTTCACATTACAACTTGAAGTTATTCTACAAAGAAGAAACTGTGTAATTTAGATATTTTTCATGAGGTTTTTTTTTTTACAAAACTCTTATAGAGTTAGGATAGAGAAAGTAACAGATAAATTAAAATATTTTCTGAAAAAAAAATGCATAATGTTTACTTAGCAGGTTTCAAAGATTACACAAGTGAAATCTGAGATATTTCAGATGAAGAAAAGTCAACACTCTGACTTCATATATTCATGGAGAAATTTAGTAAAAATTCTTACATGAAAAATCTGATATTTTGGGTTCAAAAGACTAGTAATGTACACTGATAATCTACAAAATACATACATTATCAAAGTACAAGGCACCTTACCTTCCATATGGAAAGAGTTAATATTTTAGTAGCATTTACATTGATTCTCTTGAAATTAATGTTTTTTTCATAATAAAACAAACTTAGGTTCCATATGAATTTCAATACCAGTGTTTTTAATTTAGATTCCATGCAATGGAAAGGCAGCAGATCGTATACATGCTGATGGCATTCATATTCTTGTCAATATGAATGGGTATACTAAAGGAGCCCGTAATGAGATATTTGCTTTAAGACCAGCGCCAATACAGGTAAATCAGTAGTTTATAGAACTTTTTCTTTCTTCATACTAAATAATATTCAAATTTAAAGTTTAGTAAAATAGGAAAATATTGTAACAGTAACTAGTGGATATTTATGTTTTCTAGTATATAGGATTTTTGCAAACCTTGAACTAAATTAAACCACCAATGTTCACACAGACAGTTTTGTAAAATTTGTAAAAGTCTTTGCGAGATTAAAAAAATGTACTTTCAAAAACAAATTATAAACATAGTTAATGTGAATTGCAGCATTAAACTTTTGAGGAATAAATAAGTTGTTAAAGGTTGTGAAATATCATAATCTTTACTTTTGGTACTTTAATTTCCTTTCCATGTTTCTTTCTATATTCAAATGTAAGATTTCTTTACAGGTTATGTCAATCATATCTTTTTTCTTTGAACATGTATGGTTGTTGATTACTCAAAAATGTTTTTACACTAAACAGTCAAGGCTAGTGCTATGGTATGTTTAATACAGCATTGACACCAAATAAATTGTAGTCAGAAAAATGCTGAATATTTTTATTAATGTACTGAAAACTACAAGGTAATGAGGTTACAAAAAATATTTGTAACATTTTAAGGTGTTAGTTCTTGACAAAAGAAAGAAAAAAGTCCCCTAAAGACTGGATCCAGTTCATGGCAGGTTGCAAAGCTTTGAAAAGCTGTGGGTAGTTTTGAAAGTCTTGTTGCTCCTCTCACATGGAAATGCCTCAGTGGAGAGAAGCTTTTCAGTGAATCATCAGATTGAAGTTGAAAATCTTGAAGGAAAAAGTTCACAGCCAGTATCTTGTATGTGACCACCTTAGTTCAGTTGGAGATACACAGAATGTGGTGATTACAAAGGCCCTCTTATTATCTGCAGCTGATGCAAGGCAATAATATTTTACCTGCCTTTATGAGCAAGAGAGATGCAAAAAAATAAACTCATTTAAGTGTAATGTGGAACTAGAATTTTCCCTACTCATTAGTGAGCATATCTGCAGAACATATAAAAAGAAAAAAGCATGTGTTCTAAATTGATTTTCTGTATGTTGTCCTAAATTAAAAATGAAAACGAGATAGCTGATGGGTAAGAGGGTTGTAATTGTACATTTGTACTTGACAACATAGCCTGCTTGTAGGCTGTGTTTATTTAGTTTTTCAAAGTCACAGTCATCATTAATATATAAAAAAGAAAGAAAAAGCACATTCTAATTTAAAGTAGTCCTTTTAAAAAAATAAATTGATATATTTTGTAGGTAGGAAGCTTGTAATTGAACATAGTCATGGAATACTACTTTGACCAAATTGTTCAAACTTTCCATTGTTTATATACCTGCCCATCAGCCATGTAAAGTTGATTAGAAAACAATCTCAAAAATTAGAGAGAAAAGGGAGGGGCTCCTCTGGTGGGTTTGACAAATTTATTAACAACAGCAAATCAAAAAGGTAGGAGATTCAGATTTTACATTCTTGCTTGTTAAGTCTTAGAAAAGTCTGAAATGGAGAAATTGGAGCTCAGATACAAAAATTAAGATTCGGGTTTTCTTGCATATATCTTTTTGAAGTTAAGAAGTTAAAACTTAGTATAAAAATTTGAATTATAAACTATAAAGGGAACAGAAATTTGTAATAAGTATTTTCAGCTGGTAATCTTCAGCCCTGCAGCTTTGTCTTATTGATTATCTTCAACCCTTCTCTGGCTATTTCTTGTGCTTTAGCAGATTGCTTCTTGTCTTTAACTCTTTCTAGACGGGTCACAGGTGAAAGGCCATGTCATCTCGTTTGTTGATTCGCATTCAAAATTTTA